ATTGAGGGACTTTGTCTCTGGCCATGAGGTTACAGAAAAAAGGGTAATGTGAGATGTGAGGGACGAGTAGCTTTAGCACATCATATTTGGGATTCGGCTGTGACATATATATATTTCTATACAGGTGACATATATATTTATTTACATATATACATATATGGAAAATCAGTCAATAAATTTGGGTTAGACCAAAAAAACCTCACTTAAATCAATAACAATATTCCTAGTAACTCTATTCAAAATGTGCAAAGGAGGAGAATAAACATTGATACAATAGGCACTAAAAACGGTCAACACTCAGGAAAAAGTGCTCTGTTGTCATTCCTCATTGTAGAGGAGCCACAGACTTATCATCTCAGATATGATATGCTGGCTATCATCAAAAAGATCAAAGAAAGTTGTTGGCAAAGTTGTTGGCCAGTGTGTGAGAAAATGGAATTCTTATTCTCTGTTGGTGGGAAACTAGAGTGGTAGATCCATGTGGAAGAGTATGGAGATTTCTACAGAAAGTAAAAATGGACTTAACATACGACCCAGCAATCCATCTCTGGACCAATACCCAAAAGAAATGAAGCCGTGATTCATAAAGGTGCATGCAGTTCTGTGTTCCCTACAGTAGTATTCATGACAGCCAAGGTATGGAGTCAACTGAAGCACCCATTATTTGATGATTATATAAAGTGGAATAAACATATAGATATAGATCATTTAAATGGAATATGTTCCAAATTGTACACATTATATATATATAATTTACATTTATTTACACATAAAAATTAATTAGGAGGCATAATAGATATATATTAGTACATGGGTAAAAAATAAATTTTATATATACATCAGGTTCTTTATTCTATATTACATAAAAATTCTATTTTGTTAGTTTTTAATTATTTTAATATTTTTATTGATTCTTCACGAATGTATGAATATAGTCCATCCACATTCAGGCTCAATCTCCCATTCTCACCTCCACTTTACCAAAACCTCCTCCTCATTGCTTGTCCTCTATTATATTTGTCTTATTTTAAGACCAGTTGAGTAAAATCTGCATTCCAACATGCTCCTGTGTGTGCTTCTCTTTCATAGAACCAGTGAACCTACCCAGTGTCACAGCACTAAAGAAAACTGATTCTCCCTCTCTAATAGCTATCAGTGGTTAGTAGCTCCTCAGATACGTGTGGCGTTTTGGGCCCATCTCGCTCATCCATGTTGGATTTTTGTCTGGCTGGTGTTTGGGTAGTTTTCCTGCATGCTATGATAAGCTCTGTGAGATCATATGTGCATCAACCCTGTGGTATCCAGACAACCTGGTTTCCTTGTATTCATCTACCACCTCTGAGTCTTACAATCTTTCTGCCTGCCCCCACTTCCACAATGGTCCCTGAGCCCTGGGTCGGTGGAGTCCTATCCAGGAAAACACACTTTGAACTCCGTTATTCCCTGTATTTTGGCCAGTTGTGCCTTTTTGTATTAATGGCTCTCTGCGTGATCCTCTGTTGTATGAGGGAGCTCCACTGATGAGAACTGAGAAAGGCATTAGTGTAATCGTTACCCCTTTTTCTATGTTCCATGAGGCTTAGGTGTAAGAGTTTGAATTGCAGATGTGCCACTTAGACTTGGCAAATTCACAGACAATGTCTGTGAGTGACCATTGGTTGAGCTCTGTAATAGTCTCCATCTGTTCCAAAGGAAGCTTCTCTGATGAGTGGTGACTGGGATATTTGTCTGTAAATATAAGGTTCTCTATTTTGCACACAGTAAGAAATTACATTTGTCTAGGGATGTGACAGTGTTGGGGTTTTCCTCTAAGGTCTATGACCTCTCCAGCCTTGTGTATTTGACTATGTTTACAGTACCACACATGAGTTTCCTCCCACTGAGTGGGCTTCAAGTCCAGTTAGGTAGCCATTGATTGCCCTCAAGATAAAAAATTCCCCTACTGCACCAATGTCCTTTCCTGTGTTGGTCATTGATTTGTTACTAGGCCTTGAATCTGGGGTTGGACCATCGATTGATATTCTCCCTTAGCAGCTTGT